CCCCGTGGTGCAGATCTCGGTGCAGGACGTCACACGGGAGAGCAAGGTGGGAGGGGGGTCCCACCCCCGGGGGGGCTGGAGGGGTTTGGGGGGGCGGTGGGATCTGACCTGTGCCCCCCAGGTGGTCTGTAACACCTCAGCCCCCGTCTGGGAAGACGCTTTCCGCTTCTTCCTGCACGACCCCAGGAACCAGGACGTGGATATCCAGGTGAGACCCCCAGCCCCGTGTCCCCCCCAGCCCCCGAGATCCCCCTGGCCCTGCGTCCCCCCACATCCCCCGAGAGCTCCCCATTTCTCCAGCCTCTTGTCCCCTCATATCCTCCCAAGTCCCTGTTCCTTTTTCCTCCCCAAATCGTCCACCTCCCCTTCCCCTTTTCCTCCCTTTTCCTCCCTTTTCCCCCCTTTCCCCGTCCTATTTCCCCCACCTTTTCCCCCTCCTTCCCTCCTCTTTTCCCCCCTTTCTTCCCCCCTTTCCCATCCTTTTTTCTCCCCCTTCCCCCCACCTCTTCCCTCCCACTTCCTCCCATTTCCCCCGTTCCCTGCGCCCCCCAGTGACCCCCCCGTGCCTGCAGGTGAAGGACGACCCCCGGCAGAGCCCGCTGGGGTCCCTGTCCGTGCCCCTGTCCCGCCTGCTCCAGGCTCCGGAGCTGACTCTGGACGAGCCGTTCCCGCTGCAGCGCTCGGGGCCCGGGAGCCGCCTGTTCCTGAAGCTGGTCCTGCGGGTGAGGGGGGGCCGGGGGGGCCGAGGGAGGGGCCCTGCCCCTGCCCACCCCCCCGCTGACCCCCAGACCCGCAGGTGCTTTTCCTCGACGCCCCCGAGGGCGGAGTGTCCCCCCCCGCCCCCCCGGGGCAGCCGCAGCCCCCGGCCAGCACCGAGAGCCCCCCCCGGCCCAGCCGGGCCAGCCCGGACCCCCGGTTTGGCACCGAGGTGGGGAGGGGATGGGGGGTCTGGGGGGATTCACCAGGGGGGGCGGGATGGACAACAGGGGCTGGGGGGTCCTGGGGGAAGGATGGGGGTCCTGGGGGGCAGGATGGGGGTCCTGGGGGGCAGGATGGACAACAGGGGCTGGGGGGTCCTGGGGGGCAGGATGGGGGTCCTGGGGGGCAGGATGGACAACAGGGGCTGGGGGGTCCTGGGGGGCAGGATGGGGGTTCTGGGGGGCAGGATGGGGGTCCTGGGGGAAGGATGGGGGTCCTGGGGGGCAGGATGGGGGTCCTGGGGGGGGAGGATGTGGCTCAGGGCCCAGGGATGGTCCTGGGAGGTGGGTTGAGGGGTCCTGGGGGGCAGCGTGGAGGGGTCCCGGGCGGGAAGCAGGGTCGGGACTGGGGGGTCCGGGGGGGCCAGAGGTGCTGGCAGCCCCTGCCAGTGGCCGGTGGTCCCGTGTCCAGCACGTGCTGCGGATCCACCTCCTGGAAGCCGAGAACCTGATCGCCAAAGACAACTTCTTCAAGGGGGTGGTCCGGGGCCGCTCCGACCCCTACGCCAAGGTCCGGGTGGCCGGGAGGGTCTTCCGGAGCCGAGTGATCAAGGAGGAGCTGAACCCCCGTTGGAACGAGGTCTATGAGGTACCGGGGTTCCCGTCGTCACCCCCGTGGGCCGGGGAGGGTCCCGGGGGGGGAACTGAGGCCCGGGGGGCTCGGGTGGGACCCGGGTGACCCCTGTCCCTGCCCAGGTGGTCGTGGACAACGTCCCAGGGCAGGACGTGGAGTTCGACCTCTTCGACAAGGACGTGGACAAGGATGATTTCCTGGGCCGGTGGGTGCGGGGGGGCGTGGGGGGTGCTTGGGGGGGGTCAGGGGGCTGTGGGGGACCCCCAAAACCTCACTGCGTGTCCCCCACCCAGGTGTAAAGTGCCACTGAGGCGGGTCCTGAGCAGCCGCATCGTGGATGAGGTGGGAGAGGGGCCTGGGGGGCTGTGCTGGGGCTGGGGGGGTCACCAGAGGGGGTTCACTGAGGGGGGGCTCTCCCTGTCCCACCAGTGGCTGCCCCTGGAGGAGGTGAAGTCGGGGCGGCTGCACGTGAAGCTGGAGAACCTGGACCCCCGGCCCAGCACCGCCCTCCTGGAGCAGGTAACGGCCCCCCCAGCTCTCGAGGGTGTGGGGGGGACACCGTGGACCCCAACCTTTGTCCCCATGGACCCCGACCCCCAACCCCGTGTGTCCCCATCCCCACTGACATCCCCCCTCTGCTCCCCCATCCCCATCCTCCTCCCCATCCACCCCCATTCCCGATCTCCTGGGGGTCCCCACGCCACGGAGGGACCCCCAGCCCACCCCCCCGTGCCCCCCAGGTCCTGCACACCAACAGCCTCCTGCAGCCCGCCCGGGGCGAGGAGCTCTCGGCCGCTCTCCTCTCTGTCTTTGTGGACCGAGCCGCTGACCTGCCGGTGAGTGGGTGCCCCCCCCTCGGCCTGGGCCCCCCAGGATGCCCCCAAATGTCCACAGTGCCCCCATCACCCCCGTCCTGCCCCCCCAGCTCCGGAAGGGCTCCAAAGCCCCCTCTGCCTTCGCCAGCCTGGCCGTGGGCAACGTCTCCTTCAAGACCAAGGTAGGACACAGTGGGGGGGCTGGGGGGTGTTTGGGGAGGGACCGGGGGGGTCTCTCACCCCTTCTCGTCCCCCCAGACCTGCACCCCGTCCGCAGAGCCCACGTGGGACGAAGGCTTCTCCTTCCTCATCAGGCGGCCGCAGGAGGAGTCGCTGCAGCTGCAGGTCTCTGCCCCCCCCGGGGTGGGGGTCCCGTCCCTGCGGCCCCCCGGGGGTCCCGCGGGGGGGTCCTGAGCTACCTGTGCCCGCAGGTGAAGGAGGAGGGGGGGCAGCCCCTGGGCACCCTCAGCCTGCCCCTGCCCCAGCTCCTGGCCTCGGAGGGGCTGGCTCTGGACGGATGGTTCCCGCTGGCCGGGGGGGGCCCCGGCACCCAGATCCTGCTGCGGGCACAGCTGGGGGTGAGTGGGGTCCCGGGCGGGGGGGGGTGAGGTGAGACCCCCCCTGACCGCCCCTCTCGCCCCCCAGGTCCTGGTGTCGCAGCAGGTGGAGGCGGCGGCCGGGGGGTCCCTGGAGGGGGGGGACACGGACCCCCAGCCCGCGGAGGAGCGCGGGGAGGAGGAGGAGGAGGAGTGTGGGACGGGGGGGCTGCGCCAGCGCCTGCCCCCCAAGGACAGGTGGGAACGGGGGGGGCACGAGACCCCCCCGTGCATTCAGCCCCCAGCCCCACATTGCAGGGCAGGGGGTCTTTGGGGGTGCTGACCCTCTGCCCCCGCAGCCCCCCTGAGCCGGCGGAGGGTCCCCGGGTCCAGCTCACGCTCTGGTACCACCGGGACGAGAGGAAGCTGGTGGCCATCGTCCACGCCTGCAGGTGAGGCTGGGGAGGGGGGGCTCGGGGCTGGGACCCCCGGGCTGGGACCCCCCTCTGAGGCCCGACCCCCCCCCAGGGAGCTGCGGGCGGCGGCGAAGGAGCTGCCGGACCCCTACGTGTCCCTGGTGCTGCTCCCCGACCGCAGCCGCGGCACCAAGAGGAAAACCAGCGTGCAGAGGAGGACCCTGAACCCCGACTTCAACGAGAGGTAAGGGGGGTGGAGGGGGCCCTGTGCCACCCAGTATGGCCCAGTACGGCCCAGTACGGCCCAGTACAGCCCAGTGTGCCCAGGTTCGAGTGGGACCTGTCCCTGGAGGAAGTGTCACGGCGGAGGCTGGAAGCTCATGTCAAATCCACCCTGTCCTTCATGACCCGGGAGAAGGAGGCGCTGGGAAAGGTAGGGGGGGTCCGGGGGGGCCCAGGGAGGATTTGAGGCGGGTCTGGGGGGTCCAGGGAGCCCCCTGAGCCTTTGCTCTCCCCCAGCTCCATCTGAACCTGGCGCAGGTGGACCTGTCCGAGGGGGGATCCCACTGGTGAGTGGGGCTGAGGGGCTGTGCCGGAACGGGGGGAGGGCTCGGGGGGGTCTCTGGGGTGGGGAGGACTGTGTCCCTGTGTGCCCCCCACGCCCCCTCACCTCTCCCCCCGCACAGGTACGAGCTGCAGGATGAGCGGAGTGGCCCCTAGAGTGGGACCCCCGGCCCCAACCAGCCCCCCGTGGGGGGGACCCTCGGGCTGCCGCCGCCCCCCACCCCCGCCAAGCCCCCGCCTCGCCACCGACCAAAGACGGGCCGGGCCGGGCCCCCCCCGCGCCCCCCCAGACTGTTACGAACCTCGTGCCTTTGCCCCCCCCGAGGGCCCCCCGGCGTTTGGGGGGGCTCGGCTGGGGTTGTGTCCCCCGGGTCCCCCCCGAGGGGACGCTTCTTAGAGCCGCTGCCGCCACCGCCGGGCTGTCCCCGGGCTGTCCCCGGGATGTCACCACCCGGACCCCCCCGGATGTCACCGCCCCGGGATGTCCCCGGGCTGTCCCCGGGCTGTCCCCGGGATGTCACCGCCCGGACCCCCCCGGGATGTCACCGCCCGGCCCCCCCGCGATGCCACCGCCAGGCCGCTGCCTTGATGCCACCACCGGGGTGTCGCCGGGATGCCACCTCCGGGCCGCCATCGGGACGCCACCGCCGTGCCACCGGGATGTCACCGCGCTGCCACCGCCGTGCCACCCCCTCGCTGCCTTCCCAGGGCTGCGTCCCCGTCCCCCCCCCGCGCTAATAAAGGAGGGAGGACACAGCGGCGGCTTCGCGTGTTCCTAAAGGGGGTCCCGAGGGTTGGTGGGGTCCCGCAGGGGTCCCCCGTGGGGTCCGGTCACGGTGCCCTCCGTGGGCCGTGGGGTGTCCCCTTGGGATGCCCTCACTGGGGGGCCCGTGAGGGGGGTTGGTGTCCCCTGGGGGGTCCCCCGTGGGATGTCCCTGTGGGGGGTGGGGTGTCCCCCGTGGGATGGGGTGTCCCCCGCGGGGGAGGTGCCCCCCGTGGGGTGGGGGGGGTGTTCGCTCCGTGCCCATCTATAGCCAAAACATTTCCCCCCGGGCAGGAGGAGGGGGCGTGGCCTCCCCGTTTCCCCGCCCCCCTCATGAATAATCCCCGCCCCCGTTACCGGCGGTGACGCCGCGCGCGGTGACGCCCGAGAGCGCAGGAGGGAACGGGAGCGGCCGGCGCCATGGTGGGCACCGGGAGCGCACCGGGAGCGGCTCCGGGAGCGCACCGGGAGCGGCGGGGGATGCAGGGGCGGAGGGGGATGCTCGGGCAGAGGGGGATGCTCGGGCGGGGCGGGGTTGGAGGGGGGTCGGGGCGGGGGTCGCACCGGGGGATGCGGCGGGGGCGCGGGGGGCACCGGGCGGGCTCGGCGGGCACCGGGCGCGGGCGGTCACTCCGTCCCCCCCGGGGGATGCCGGTGCCCGCTGACCGCCGCGCTCTCCCCCGCAGTGCGACTTCTCGGAGGAGCAGACCGCGGGTGAGTGACCGGCACCGGGCACCGGGAGCGGCACCGGGAGCGGGGCTGGACCCGCCCCAGCTCGGGGTACCAGGAACGGACCCCCCCGGACCGGCCCCGCCGCCCCCAGCGCTTCCTGCGCGGCCGCGGGCGGGGCCTTTTCCCGGGCAAAGTCTGTCCCGGGCGGGGCCGTTCGTTCCGGGGGAACGGGGGGATGCGGGACCGGGCCCGGGGGCTGCGGGACCGGGGCTGCGGGCCCGGCACCGGCACCGGGACCGGAGGGTGTCCGGGCCCCTCCTGCGCCATTTGCCCTTATATGGGCACAGCGCGCCTCGGCCGCGCATTCCTGCGGGGCGGGGCCGCGGATTCCTGAGCGCTCCCGGTTCTCCGGGTCCGCCGGGGCTCCCGCTCGGCCCGGGCAGCATCCCGGAGGGCGGCCCGACCTGCATCCCGGCCGGCGTCGGGTTCCACCGGGAAACCGGATCCCACCGGGAAACCGGATCCCACCGGGGAACGAAACCCGACCCGGAGCCGGAGGGGGGGCTGGGAGTGGGGTCCCCGAGGTGCGGGGTCCCGGGGAAGCGGCTGTGGGGTCCCGGAGGTGACAGAGATGTAGTGGGGTGGGAGGGCCGGCGGTGTGTTGAGGGTCCCGGGGACGCTGACACGGGGGTCCCGCTGCTGGTGGTCCTGAGGGCACTGACACGGGGGCATCCTGGTGCATTGGGGGTCCCGAAGGTGCAGAGTCGGGGGTCCTTTTGCCACAGGGGTTCCGGTGGTGCTGATGCAGATTCTGGAGGCGCTAATTCGGGGGTTCCTGTGCCCTGGGGGTCCTGGTGGCGCTGACATGGGGGTGCCCACTGTGTTGGAGATCCCAGCAGTGCTTATGTGGGAGTCCTGGCAGCACTGACACGGGGGGTCCTGGCGTGTTGGGTGTCCCGGGGGTCCTGGCACTGCTGACACAGTGGTCCTGGCAGAGTTCAAGGAGGCCTTCCAGCTCTTCGACCGCACGGGCGATGGGAAGATCCTGTACAGCCAGTGCGGGGACGTGATGCGGGCGCTGGGCCAGAACCCCACCAATGCCGAGGTCATGAAGGTGCTGGGCAACCCCAAGAGCGATGGTGAGTGGGGGATCCCCCTATTCCCTCCCCCCGGGCCCCCAGGACCCCCCCAGCCCTCACACACGTGCCCCGTCCCACAGAGATGAACGTGAAGACGCTGAACTTCGAGCAGTTCCTGCCCATGATGCAAACGATCGCCAAGAACAAGGACCAGGGGTGCTTCGAGGACTACGTGGAGGGGCTGAGGGTCTTCGACAAGGAGGGCAACGGCACCGTCATGGGCGCCGAGATCCGCCACGTCCTCGTCACCCTGGGTGAGCCTCGACCCCCCGCCGGGCCCCCAACCCCTGATGGCCACAGGGAAACCAGATCTCACTGGGAAAACAAACCCAACCTGGGCCAGAGAGGGGGGTCTGGGGGGGGTCTGAGAGTGGGGTCCCCGAGGTGTTGGGTTCCAGGGATCCAGCGGGATGGGAGGGCTGGCAGGGGGCCCTGGTGCTCTGGGTGGTCTCGGTGCAGCTGACAGGGGGGTCCTGGTGCTCTGGGCATCCTGGAGGTGTAGATTCAGGGGTCGTTTCGCCCTGGGGGTCCCAGTGGTGCTGACACGGGGGTCTCAGTGCCCTGAGGGTCCTGACGGCGTTGACGTGGGCATCCTGGTGCCTTGGAGCTCCTGGAGGTGCTGACGTGGGGGTCCTGGTGGCACTAATGCAGGGGACCCCTCAGGGACCCCTCGGCCATCCCTGAGGACCCCCAAAGCCCAGCCAGCTGCAGGGATCCCGTCAGCTCCCACCACCCCTGGGATCATCACAAGCCCCCAGCCAGCCCCCAGGACCCCCTGCAAGGCCTGGGGACCCCCAGTGTGTGTGTCCCCCCCACCCCAGGGTGACAGCAATGTCTCACAGGTGAGAAGATGACAGAGGAGGAGGTGGAGCAGCTCGTGGCCGGGCACGAGGACAGCAACGGCTGCATCAACTACGAAGGTGAGGGCTGGGGGTGGGAGGGGGGTCCCAGGGGTGCTGGGGGTCCCGGGGGGGGGGGTTCGTCCGTGACCACACTCCCTCCCTGACCATCATGTCTCCTTCCTTCCTCCCAGCGTTTGTGAGACACATCTTGTCAGGGTGACGCCGCAGGGGTAACGCCTCCCCCCGCCCCCTCCCTCAGTTACTTCCAGTTGGTTTTTTCCTTCCTTTTTTTTTTTTCTCCTGCCCTAGTGTCTTTTTTTTTTTATTAAAAAAAAAGAAAAAAAAAGGCCGCCTGGTTTGCGCTCTCGCCCTTGGTGCAGCCCCCACTCTGCTGCCCCCCCGCATGTCCTTCTGCATGGAGCCCCCCCTGCGCGCCGGGGCCGGGACGTGGGTGCTGCTCTGGGGGGGCTGCAGGAGCCCCCCCCTCCCGACCCCCCCCCGTGGCGACGCCGGGTTCTCCCTGCGCTCTTCAGCCGTTTGACTTTGGTTTTCCTGCCTCTCTCCGGGATTAGGGACAGGGGGGCCGCCAGACTCCTCCTCACCCTTCTCTCTTCTCTCCACAGAGCTGGTCCGGATGGTGCTGAGTGGCTGAAGACTCCCCCTACCCCCCCCCCATGTCCCCTCCCCCCCACTCAGTTTTGTGCCTTTTTCCTCATTTTCCTGCCACCGCCACCACATCCCCACATCCCCACTGTCCCACCCCCTCCCCGAACGCCCCCAGCCCTCCCTCGGCCCCATCGGCTAAATTATTGCTCCACAGCATCAAATAAAGTCTCAGAACGTTGAATGTGACCCCCTCCCCTCCTCTTGTGTTCCCCCAGACAGACCCAGCACCACGAGGCTGTTTCTTCCCGCCCCAGGGACTTGGAATTTTATTTTTATTGGTTTTTTAAAAAAAGAAAAGAAAAAAAAAAAACCAAAAAACCAAAAAACAAAAAGGGGAGGAGGAGAAGGAGCTGGGTGGGTGTTGGGGTTGGTTTTGGGGGGGGGAAATGCCCATGTGCCAGGTGGGATCGGAGCTGTCTCATAAATAGCCGGGGGGGAGCAGGGTCCCAGCCCCCCCCGGGAGACCAACACTTAAATAAAATCTGGGACAATCATAAAAAAATACCAAAGCTGGGGGGGAGGGAGGGCGGTCGAGGTGGGCAGGGGGTCCTTTGGGGTGCCTTGCAGGGGCGGGAGGGGCCGGTCTGGGGGGGCTGCGGCGTCCTGGGCCCCGGCCGGGGCTCACTGCGTGGGGGGCACGGGCGTGGCCGTGCTGGGGGTGGGTGCGATGGGGTCCGTCTGCAGGGGGGGGCCTTGGTCTGTAGAGAGAACACAAAGGACGGGGGGGGGTCACATCTGGGGGGGGCAAGGGGGTGCACGAGCACCTCTTGCCCCACAGCTCCGGGGGGAAGGGTTGAGGCCCCCGCCCGGCCCCGAGCCCACGAGTGATCCGCCCGCTCCCGGCGTCCCCCCCGCGCCCCCCCCATGTCTCACCTGCGAGGAGGCCGGGGTTGGGAAGGAGGCTTCCCTGCACGGCGGCCACGATGGCGGGGCTGTGCGCGGCGGCCGAGCCCCCCGCGAGGTGCGGCAGGGCCAGGCCGGGTGGGTGGGAGTTGGGGGGCAGCCCCCCGCCCCCCGGCATGCTGCTGGCCAGGGCCCCATGCAGCGGGAGGGGGGGCGGGTTAGCGGGGAAGGAGGCGCCCAGGGGGTCGGCGGGGGGGTTAGCCATGCTCAATGGGATGGCGGATGGAGGCAATCCGAAGGGCAGGGCCGCGGGAGCATTACCGGGCACGGCGGGGTGGCCGCTGCCACCGAGGGTCCCCGCCAGGCTCTGGGACGGCGGCTGCTGCCCGGGGAACGGCGCCGGGGCTGCGGGCGAGAGGGGCGGTGAGGAGACCCCGACAGAGACACCACCCCTCCCTCCCCCAGCCCTCGGCACCGGGGAGAGCGTCAGCGACGGGCCCCACGCCCCCGGGACCCCCCTCGCCCGACCCCTGCCCGGCGCTCACCGTGGGGGACGTTCGGGGCTCCCGGTGGCGGGGGCGGCTGCGGCGGGGGGGCCCCGGGCAGCGGCTGCCCCACGGGCTCGGGGGGGCCCACCATGGCCGGGGTGGGCGGCGCGGCCAACGGGTGGGCGGCGGGGGCCAGGGGGGCTCCGGCGGCGGGCAGGGGCTGAGCCCCCGGGGGCAGCGGGGGCGGCTGCTGCTGCTGCTGCTGCTGCAGGTGCTGGAAGTGCTGCTGCCGCGCGCGCATCTCCGCGTACTTCAGCTGCTCCATGTGGAAGGCCTGGCGGTCCGCCAGCAGCTGCTGCCGCTGGTACTCCAGCTGGGGGGGACACGGCGGGGTCAGCCGGACGGGGGCACGAGCGGACGAGCGCCCGCCACCCTCCCGGGGATGGCCCCACACTCACGGCCTCGCGCTCCCGGTCCATGATGGTCTCCAGCTCCTCGAAGTGCCGCAGTTTGATCTCCAGCTTCTTCATCTGCGTCTCCACCAGCAGCGCCACGAGGGACTTGATCTTCCGCTCCTCCACGGCCGCCAAGTGCTGGGGGAGGCCGCCCGGGGGGCTCAGAGCCCACATCTGGGTTGTGCTGCCCCCCCAGCCCCGACCCCCAGCCCTCACCTTAGCCTTCACGGCAGCGGCGGCCAGCGCGGCGGCGGCGGCGGTGGAGAGGTTCCCCTCGCCGATGTCCCGCTCCACCTTGGCCTTGCGCTCGGCCTCAGGCTCCGGAGGCTCCTTGGGTGCCTCATCTGGCCCCTCCTTCACCTCCTTCTCCTTCTCTGGCTCTCCTGTGGCACAGTGGGGGCCGTGTCAGCAGTGTCGTGGGGGGCTCGGTGTCCCCCCAGCCCTGCCAGGTCCCCCACTCACCTGCACCATCGCTGTCACCCTTGTCGGGCTCCTTCTCGCCCTCCACCTCCTTCCCCTTCTCTTCCTCCTTCTTGGGTGTTTCCCCAGGCTTCTCCTTTGCCTCCTCCTCGGTGGTGCCGTCCCTGGGCTCCTGGGGAAGGACCAGCCCCACGGCCCCACTCGAGTCCTGCCCCAGCCACCCTCCCCGACCCCCATCCCCCTCCCCGGCCCCCCGCTACCTTCGCCTCCTTCTTCTCCTCGGCCGGCTGCGCGTCGGCCCGCGCCTCCTCCGCCCCGCTCTCCTCTGGGGACACAAACCCGGGCTCAGGCCCTGCCGCTGCCCCCCCAGAGCCCCGACCTGCCCCCGGCCCCTCACCGATCCGCTCCGGCTCGTCCGAGGTGGTGCCGGCGATGCCGCTGCTCTCCAGCCCGAACGCGGGGTCGGCCTTGCCCGTCACCTTGGCCGCCTCCTCCACCTTGCGCACGTGGGCCTCCACCAGCGCCGTGGGCACCTCCTCCTTCATCTTGGAGAATTCCTCTGGGGGAAGGGCCGGGGAGGCCTCAGCAGGACCCCGGCGCCCCTGGGAGCCCCCCAGCACTGCGCATCCCTTGGGGGGCTCGTCCCAGCTCTGCAGGGCTCATCCTGGCTCCCCACAGAATTCATCCCTCTCCCCATAACACTTGTCCTGTCTCCTTACAGATGCCCTATAGGACTCCTTATAGGACTCATCCTTCTCCAGGGCTCCCTATAGGACTCATTCCTTTCTCCTACAGGACTCCTCCCTGTCCCCGTGGCCCCTGTCCCCTGTGCCCCCAGGACTCCCGCAGCCCCCAGGCTGGACCCCTGCCCCAGCCGTGCTACCCAGAGCCGATTTGGCGGCGGCGGAGGCGACGCGGGGGTCGACGACGGAGGCCAGGAAGGCCACGGTGCTCATGACAGGGTTGCCCGACTGGCTGAAGGGGATGGGCTGGTAGGCCAGTGGTCCCAGCGACGCCTCCGAGTCCTCCAGGTAGGGATCCTCGATGGGGAGCCGCAGGAAGTGCAGGATGCACTCGTCCTGTGTCCGGCTGCCCACGTGCTCGGACACCTTGTTCCAGTCGTCCTTGTACATCTCCAGGGCCTGCGGGATGGAGCGGGGGGGCGTCAGCGGGGTCTGGCAGCCCCGTTCCCCTCTCCCCACGGACCCCCACTCACCTCCAGCAGCAGCAGCGTCTCCTGCTCCGTCCACTCCCGCGTGGCGCTGGCAGCGGCTTTGCTCTGCAGGGGCAGAGAGAGGGGTGAGGGGCGGCGGGCGGGGGGCCGGGGCCAGGCCGAGGGGTGCCCACCTTGGAGGGGACGTTCTTCTTGGTGTACATGTCGGTGCGGAGGCCGAAGTTCTGCATGTCGGCCGGCTTCTCCTTGCCCTTGTCCGGGAAGTTCAGCATCTGCTGCGAGGCCGAGGTCGGCTGCTGAGGGGAGAGGGGACGCTGGGATGCGGCCGCGGGGGGACGGGACGTCGGGATACCGGTCCCCCCCGCCCCTCCATCCCAGAGAAGCCTTCGTGCCCCGTCTCGTCACGGTGTCCCCCCCGCGTCCCTGCTCCCCGGGGCAGGGCGGCATGCGGGGCGCGAGGGGGAGGAGGGAAGGAGCCTTCCTCGGCCAGCGGCGGGGGCACGGACCCCAAGGAGCCGCCTACCAGCTCCGGCTTCCCCTTCACCGTCTCGCTGACGAGCTCTTCGATCTCTTTGCTCTTGCGGCCGGTCTTGGCGTCGCCGTCGCTCTGCCGGCCCTGAGGCAGGCACGGATCGAAGCTGTGCATCCCCCACCCCCCGCCCCACCCCGCGCCCGGCCCCCAAGGGACCGGGGGGCGGCAGGGGGGGGTCGCGGCTGGGCGGGGCGGACGCCCCCCACACCCACCTGGGGCGTCTTGGGCTGCAGCGGCACCAGCCCCGAGGGAGTGTCGGCCAGCACGTGGAAGTGGGAGGTGGGCGGGGGGCCCATGGGGGTGGGCCGGCTCTCGGCGTCCACCTGGTAGTTGATGAGGCCCCACTGCTCCAGGAAGGCGTGGACCCTGTGGAGAGCTGGGATCAGACCCTGCCAGACCCCCACTGGTGTCTGTGGGGTGCCACACTGACCACCCCTGCCCCACTGGCACCAGACCCCTGTCAGCACCAGCACGCAAAACCTGCCAGTGCCTGGCGCTCCACCAGCACCAGGGTGCCCCAGTGGCACCAGACCCCTGCCAGCATCAGGGTGCCACACTGACCCCTCATCAGT